TAGGTGGCTCAGTCGGTTGAGCGTCTGACTTCAGCTCAGGTCATGATCTCCCAGTTTGTGAGTTCGAGCCCCGCATCGGGCTCTGTGCTGACAGCTCGAAGCCTGGAGCCTGCTTCGGATTCTGTGTCTCCCTCTCTCTCTGCCCCTCCCCTGCTCACGCTCTGTGTCTCTCTTTCTGTCTCTCTCTCAAAAATAAAATAAACATTAAAAAATTAAACAAAACAAAACAAAACAAAGAAACATGTAGTCACCTGCCATCAAGAGGGGGAAAATCAATAGAAACAGACCCAGAGATGAAACAGATGTTAGAAGTCTCAGAAGAGAACTTTAACTACTATGTATTAAGGAGCCCACAAGTGCAGACGGACATCAAGGATGAAGATACAAGAAACACCAGGGAAAATATGTAGACTAAAAACAACCAACTGGAAACCCAAAAGCTGAGAAATACAGTTTGTTTGGCTCAAATCACAAATCCAATCATGGGGGTAAGAGTATAACACACACGGCTGAGAAAACAATTTGGTGAACTTGAGGTAGGTCCATAGAAATCATCCAAACTGACGCACAGAGCAAAATTTTTGAAAGCTGGGGTAACACGAACTGTGCTCAATGATACAACGGCCAGACAGCGTGATGCGACCTAACGTATGTGTAATCGTAGACCCATAAGGACACGATGGAAAGAAGAAAGTTTTTTTGGGAAAAAAAATGGCTGAAAATTCTCTAAATTTTATCACAGCCAACTACACAGATAGAGAAAGCTTTTTAACCCCAAACAGGCTAAACACAGAGAGAAAAAGGGACCCACCTAGGCATATTCACAAACTTCTGAAAACAGAAAGTAAATGAAGAAGACAACAGAAAAGACTGGACAAGACACTTATATTCATGAAATATTGACAATGATTATAGCGGACTTCTCATCCCAAGTGACAAAGGTCTGTGTCAGAACACCTTTAACATCCTGGGGGCATCGCAGGATGTTTTCAACATGGAATGCTGCATCCACCGAAAATAGCTTTCGAAACACGCAGGCCAAGTGGCGAGACTTTCCGACACAGGAAAGGTACGGAAGTTTGTGATGAGCAGAACACGTGGTTAATGGTCTCTCTGGAGACAGCGCCACGTGGGTGCATGAGAAAAGCCTTTAAGATAAAACCTGAAAATACAGGAAATACAAATACTTATCTCCAAGGCACTCCAGCACCTTCCCGGGACTCTCCTGGAGGTAAGGCGTTACAGCATCTACAGGGCATCTGATGGACCTGTACCTCGCTAACACAATGGCTTCTGCCTACTGAAAACCACGCATCATGGAAATCATGTGGCTATTCCTTTTAGAGAACACTGCACGCTTTAAAAAATAAATAAATAAGGCCCTTTCTGACTATATTTTCTATATCCCCTAGAATCCACTTGATTTCCCCCAGAGGGAAAAACACAGAGGTAACATTTCTAGAATATTTTTTTTTTTTTGAAACGGTTTCATGTGGGTGATGTCCCATCACTGACCTTGGATGCACGGAGCATCTTGAGCTGTGTTCAAAGGAAGCATCTAAGATGTGTCCAAAGCAAACGTGGAAATTAAATGGCCAATGACACTGTGGGGAGTGAAAGTATCCCATAAATTACTGGTGGCAGACACAGAATGTGGCAGGCAAGGTGAGGAGGAAAATTCTTCCTTGCGGGATTTTTTAAAAAATCCTGCCGTTATTTATAGAGGCGCTAAGGCAATCAGGCAGACAATTGCCCTCTCTCATAGAACTCACCTTGCTAGTGGTTCAAAAGGTTAGAATTGATCGTTGCAAACTCCGGGAAATGAAGAGCCTTTAATGTAAGGAACAAGATGACAGCTATAATAGCCGATTAAATTTTCAGAACGTGCTGAGCGTCTCCTTCTGCGCCTTCGGGAAAGACACAGTGACCTTCTAAAGCCTTCTAATTACCCACAGGAAACCAGCAGTCTGTCTGTCTGCCTGGCTGTTGCTGGCTAGCTAGCATACGTGCTCCTTGACTAGCTCAGGACGCTAAATTAAAATTGAAAGGTAAAAAAAAAAAAAAAGGACTCTAGTTTGAAAAATTCATGACAATAAGGGCCATTTCATGGTATGTAGGGAAGACAGGTGGTCTTGAACGTACACCAGACCTAAATATACACGCAGAACATTGTTCAAACTACTCTTGGCGATACACGGGAGTGTCGGCCAGCCAACGCGCGTCAAGCACTTCACGCTATAGGTATTAGGTGTTGAGAACTCTACGCTATAAAGAAAAACCACACGTGGTGGGGAGAAAAACAAAACCCATGCAATCAACACTCAGTCAAGTTTTTTGCAATGGACCAAGCTCCAGAAGGATCCTTCCAGAAAATCAGAGAGTCTATGAGTAGAAGAAAAATGGTAGGTGTCTACTCGCCTCAAGATAGGTCTACGTTCAAGATATGAATCTCTCTTGGATGACAGAGTAGTAGATTCCTACCCAGAGACGCCATTTCCTGTTGCCGTAACGAATACCAAACTGATGTCATGGTATCTTTTGCTTCCATGACCACTTTAAGTATTTTATAGTGAGTTGGATGACCCAGGCGTTCACAAAGATGTATTGCCATCTCGCCGGGAAGTGGACCCAACTGACTTTTCCTGGCACAGGTGAAGCTTATAAGAAAAAACTGAGCGCTGTTTTCTCTTAAGGAAAGCAAACCGGATGTAATACCTAAGTATCCCGCGAATCCAACAGCTGGCCCCTCTTCCCACTAAACACAGAGAGAGATTTATGCTGGCAGAATGGCATTAGGAAAGGCGGAAACTGGTCAGGAAGACATTTCTGAAGAACACAAAGTAAAGCCTTTTAGGGAAAAGATCACAGACACTGTATCTCCAGTGGGATTACGCTGAAGGTTTAGGATTCCACCGCAGCTTGTGTGAGCCTACGGCGAATGTCCAAAACACAATTACGTTCTTGCAGTCTTTTTAAGAGGATTTAAATTATCTAATCCCACTTGGATTCACTGGGATGCCGTTATGACTTCCTGTTGTTTGCTTGTGTGGTGGTGTTGGGTTTTGTATTTTTATTTTTTGTCTTATTTCGTTTTATGCCATCTGATGTTATTCCATTTATTTGCTTTTTTTTGGTCACAGAGCAAGAGTATTTACTCCAAATGAGACAGCTTTGGTCAGCAGGGTATTACTCAAGAGCAATAAAGACATTGGCACCATGGCTACATGATGATCACGTATTGAAACTCTTGTCCCTGGAAAATCTCTTGGTGGAGAAATGAGCCCTATTATCTCAGTTCCTCAAAACAGTCATTAACTTATCCTTCCAAGAGCTCAGCTAGTTGAAGGTTGGGATGTGGATAGCCTCCCATATCAACACAAAGTAGGATCTCAACTGACCATGACTTCAAAAGCAGAAAGTATGGGAGAGTAAGGAGGATGAAGCATGCAACCAAGAACTTAGATTTTTCTTTTCCTAGATTAAGTCCAGACAAGGGGTGGAGGTATGCTGGAGAGAAACTAGGTATTGAGAAATCACTGTGCTCTGGACAGTAATCTGTGCAATGTTGTTAAGATGTGTGCTTGCTTGCTTGCTCAAAAAAAAAAAAAAAAATTGCCAGAGACACAATTACCCAATGCAGGAAGTCAAGGAAGAGCCATAAGCCATGAGTAAGTGTGGTTCCCACGGGCCTCATGCCAACTCGTGTTACTGGCAGTGTGTGGGCAAGAATTTCGCAGGCTCCAGTGGGTGCAGGCTGGTCTGGAGAGAAGTGTCTCCATCTGAGCTCAGTGCTGGAGAGCATCCTGAGCTAGACAGGGTGTTCTGTGATTGCAGGAAGACGGATGGATGGATGGATGGATGGATGGATGGATGGATGGGTGGATGAGTGAATGGATGTGTGGATGGATGGATGGATGGATAGGGGGTGGATGGGTGGATGGATGGATGGATGGATGCAAAATGGGTGGATGGATGGATGCATGGATGGATAGGGGGATGGATGGGGGATGGATGGATGGTACATCGTGGGTGGATGGCCACCCAGGGATAGGGAGCTGGGGCCAGCCACTGGCGGGAGCTGCTGGTGTACCTGCTGACCTACAGGGCAGGGAATGGCCCCGGGCTGCATGGACAGCATCTCTGGGGGCCTCTGAGACTGGATGCAGATCCAGCCAAAGTGAAAGTCTGTTCAAGGACTACCACCCAACTGCCCCCACATGGCCAAGCCCCAGCATCTTCCCCCTGACATGTTGGGAGGCCCTCCACTGACCGACTCCTTCCAAGGGTCCAGCTTCATATGTTATAAAACTCATATGGTGTTGCTTTCTTATCTGATTCAACACACACAAGATGAACGCATAAAGTGTGTGTGTGTGTGTTTCTGAGTGTGTGTGTGTCTGGCTCAGACCACTTTCCTCCACCGCCCACCCTACAGACACATTCAGTCATCGTGGAGACCACAAACACTATGAATCAGTTCCCACTTGGAGTACCCATCAGCTTTGAGGGCAGGGTTGTGCCTGCTCTCGGAAGTGACCGCACCATCCTGGGTGATTTGGAATCATTGCCTCGCCCATCCCAACACCCTGGGCGGCCTCCCCTCCAGCACAGAGGAGCTGACCAAGTGCTGTCCCCTGAACACTCTGGCTTTCCACATCCACACCCGAATCTCAACATACAGAAGACATGTGCAGAGAAGACGGACGCAGAATGACAACAAGGTCCCCAAGTCACAAGGATGCAACCGACCAGCATCTTCCAACGCGTCCGCAGGAGCTGCCTACACAGAGCAACGCGACCACGGGTGAAACGTTTGCTGTCCTTCGTCACTCTCCAGTGGCGACCGGAAATCCCCAAAGGAAACGCGCAGGAGGGAGAGACATCCCCCAGCCCCGAGTCACCTCCAACCCCCGCACCCCCAATCCCATGCCCGGGTCTGCAGCTCAGCCACAAACACCAACTCGGACCAAGGCAAAGAGCCGTTGGGCTACGAGAAGTACCTTTGTCATTCAACGTCTCCTCTTTTAGTCTCCGCACAACGTCTTGGGCTTTGCTGTTATTGTTTCCGGCTAAAAGGAAAAGAAAAGATATAAGCAGTGGGAAGGCTGTCCAGGTGCAACCGAGCACGAGATAATGTTGTCTTGAGACGCAAAACTCAGCCCTGGGGTGGGCTCTTTATGGCTTCTCTTCTTGCCCTGGTGCCGAATGGGCTTGTGGATCCCTTCCCGCCAAGTCAACCTACCAACTGAGGAAGCCTCTCCTTCACCCTGGACGGACAAGGTGCACGCGTTTGTTTGACATCTTCCTTAATGGTGATTACAGGGGCGTGGGGTGCCTGGTGGTTCAACGCATGCCGTCAGGGGTTGGGGGCAAGCCAAGAATCACGTAGGCATAGAAATGTTGACGGGAAGGACAGAGCAGAAATCAGAAATACAACTTTCTAAGAAACTTTTTTTTTTTTTTTTTGCCGGGGGGGGCGGGGGGTGGGCAGGGAGAGCCAGGGAGAGGAGCAGAGAGAGAGAGAGAGAGAGAGAGAGACAATCCCAAGCAGGCTCCGTGGTCAGTGCAGAGCCCAACTTGGCGGTCGAACTCATGAACTGCGAGATCTTGACCTAGAGCGGAAATCAAGAGTCAGACGCTCAACCGACTGAGCCACCCCAGCGGCCGTCCACTCATTGGTGGTGTGATCTGTAAAACTGATCATGGGATGTGCCCGCTACGTACGTGGGATTTCCCATTTCCTTATCGGTGACTCCGTGAAAACTCGGCAGGTGTGGTTTTCCCGAACGTGAGTGTAGAAGGGTTGCGGCACGTATTTTGTGTGTGAGGGGTGTCATGGCTGAAATACGGACAACACGGGGCCATGGCCAGCTCATCCGTGGGCCATGCCACTCTTAATCTCAGGGTTGTGAGTGCAAGTCCCCGGGGGAGCCTACTTAAAAAATAACTAAGGGGCGCCTGGGTGGCTCAGTCGGTTAAGTGTCTGACTTCAGCTCAGGTCATGATCTCACGGTTTGTGAGTTCGAGCCCCCCATCCGGCTCTGTGCTGACAGCTCGGAGCCTGGAGCCTGCTTCCGATTCTGTGACTCCCTCTCTCTCTGCCCCTCCCCTGCTCGTGCTCTGTCTCTCTCTCTCTGTCTCAAAAATAAATAAATGTTAAGAAAACTAAAAATAAATTAAAAATAAAAAACAAAACAATTTTTTTAATTACAGACTATGAAATTTGGGATTAAAATAGTGAATAAGGTTTCTTCACTGTCTTCCTAAGTAAATGTGCACTGACAGTTGCAGGCTGGGGTACTACTATTTTCTGGATGTCCCTAAGCACAGAGTCCTGCTATTAAGGGGTGCCTGATGGGGCTGCTGTTGTGGGGGAGATGCTCGGGAGACCCTGCCTGCCCACACACCAGCGCTCACAAGCAACTGGACCAGAGACAGATTTTCAGCTCCTTGGAGGGATGAGCTAACCCAGAAAGTCCCTGCAGGGGTGAGTCATGGGAGCGCTTCCACAGAAGGGGATTAGACCTGGCATCTGAGGAACACAGGTGTGGGCGTGAAGCTTCTAGAGCCTTTAGCATGGCCAGGTGGCCCGGGTCCAGCATGTCCCAAGGGAGGGGGCTAGCTCCTACCACCTTCTCACCCGGGTCCCACCCCTGCCGGCTGGGTGTGCTCCGGGCTAGAACCATCTTGAAAATCGCAATGAGAATAGATTACCAAGCCATCCTTTTCACAGGCATTTCTGTGTGCTGTTTGCACACATGCGTACGGGAGCTCACTTGTGAAATCCCATGAGATTGTTAAATATTAAACAGCCACCTGCTGCTGGGCCCAACCTTCTGGCATTCGCCATCTTGGCATTAAGGGGCGGTCCAGTGGAAGCTGGCAGGAAATGGGATAGAACCTCTACGTTCCCGAAAAAGACAGAAAGGGCCAGGGAAAGGAGGGCCGTCGACCAGCAGGGGGAACTGGTCATGACTGGTCGTGCGTCGCTTTCTCAGGCACGTTTTTGGTAAAGGTCTTTCCTACGTTTACTGAGCACACATCGCAAAACAGATAGAATTCGACCAGGATGCTACTGGGCACAGACACAGTGGGTCTGCCGTCTACAAGTCCTTCCTCTGGAGGGCTAAGTTTTCCACGTGCCACACGTCCCACAGACGTCCTACCCATAACGTCGACAAGGCACTGAGTCACTTCCCTCTCTTTGGACGGCATCCTATCCACCATATTTCGAGAGTCTACAAGACGCAATGTAACGTCCATCTGTTTGTGTGGGGTTTTTGTAAGATGTTGAGCCTAAATCAAGGTCAGCAGACTATGAGCCTAGGGCCAAATCTGAAGGTCCCCTTGTTGTAAAAAGGAAAAAAAAAAAAATAGTGGAACAACAGCTATGCCTGTAGCTTTAAATACTGGCAGTGACCACTTTGCTGTTATGAAGGCGGAACTGATCGGGGAGAAACACACCTACGGAAATATTTGTTATCTGGCCCATCACAGAAAGAATATTTACTGGCCCTTGGTCTCCGCCTTAGATGGCTGGTCATGAAGACTTAGGAACAAACATCTTCCACCAAAATAGTGTTCTGAAACAATAATAACTAAGATATTGTGAGCAGGGGAGAAACTAATTAATGGATGTACAGCAATATTAACGTGCTTGACTTAAACCCAAGTTCTGTTTTCAGTTTTTTAGCAAGTAATTGATTATTCTCTAAACATTAGCAGACGCAGGATTAGCAAATTTGAAATTTCTGAATATACACACGTCTTCTTTTTTACTTAATACGACATTTGTGTTAAAGTGTCCGATGACGGTATTTCATTAAGTGGCCTTGTATCCAACTGTCACACAAAATGACAAATTGCCACTCTTGGAATGCAGGCAATTACGCCCTGAAAGACTCGGGAAGCAGGGAAGATGCCACACTCGATGGGACTGACGGAGAGGGTCACACTGTGACCCATGGTGAAGGTGTAAACACAGACAACAGAAGCTCTGTGGAAAAGAGCACAGGTGGAGCTTACTCTGCTTTGCTCAAGAAAATGAGAACTTTGCTGCTGGCAGGGATGTTCCTGGTGCTCAGCAAACATCACCTAAATGAGGAGGTGATAACAATCAGGGTTCCAGTCCTTGCATGCATGGGTGCCACATGCTTGCTCACATGCTGTCACTGCATTGTGTCTGTGCTACATACTACTCACTCAACTAGAGTTCAGCATGAACTACACCAATGTGACCTCCCCATAAAGTAACCCAACTCCACCTCATCAGGACCCAACCCAAGGAAGGTCATCATGACATAACCCATACAGACTTCATCATGATATAAGTCAACTAAACCTCATCATGATATAACC